TTTCCATCTAGTAGGCGGCGGATAGATTGACAGAATGCCTTGTTTGACGTCCCGAAATTCGACTTAGGTACCTCACAAACGTTTAACAGGAATCAACTTTCGCTTTGCCCACTGCTTTCGCTGTAGCTTTGCACTTTTTTCTACCCCATTCATGTTGAAGGTTCTTTGCTTCCAAGCCAACTTTAGGGTACAGTCTTCTTTTTGCAGACTGTTAGCTAAACTTCCAGTTTTCACCATAAAGTTCGCTTCAGATCCTCAGGAGGCACTCTTACAATAAAACTGTAAGACGCTCTTGCACTCGGTTCCCATGTCTTCCGCTTTCATTAAGATCTGTTCGAACAGTCGTGCGAGTTTCGCATTCATATTCACAGAAGATTATGTTTCCTGGTTGATTCTTTAGTTGCTATGCCGCCAAGTCTTCAGAAGACGCGGCTTTATTTGCAGCGGAGCATTCCAACAACGAGATGATGATCGGTTGACATCTCTTCGCTTGTCTTAACGTGAACGTCCGTTGCAAAACGTCGTAAGTCCGACGATACAGTTATCAGATTGATCGTCGATTTCTGTGCGCATGAGTCCTTGTACCAGGTAGACTGATGAATGTTCGAAGATGCTGTTCAGAACAGACAGCCCGCTGTTTGCAGAAACCGACAAATTGATGCCGTTATTTTTGAGATCGTTAGAGCCCTTCTTTCCAATCACGATTTCCACTTTTCAACGTCTGCTCTTACTTCGCGTTCAAATCACCCATTAGAAATATGGAGCAACTTCCAACAGGAAGAACTCATATTCTGTCTCTCCAAATTTGGCCCAAAGACTTACAAAGGGGATAAGGTTTTAGGCTATTGTAGTATCAGTAGAACGATTGGCTCTTCAGCTGTCAGGTCTCCATTCGTTGACTCTGTCAGCCAGGTTTGGCTCCACTGAAACAGCAACACCGGACTCAACGCGGGTCATGGAATCGAACTTATGTGGAGTAGCTTTTTCTCGCAGAGGTTCAGAATTCTATGACCGTGCCATTTCACTGACGAGAATTCAACTCTAGGCAGTCGATTTATTGCGGCTTTATCAACTAGCTCCTGTTTTTCCCTGTGGATGAGATGTTGCAATTTGCGAATGTTTGCAGTATCGTTCCTATGGAATCTTATCTGAAAATTTTGTTTTTCATGTGCATTATTTGGTAGAAATTTCAAGCCAAAATCTTTAATTTTTAGTCTCTGTGAAAAGTATACTTTACCTACGACATTGAATTTTTCGACAAATCTGCTGACACTGACAGCCAATTTCACTCGCTTCATCGATTATTCATTGCGGTTCGTTTTCGATTACGTCGCTTTTCGCGGTAAGTGTAACATGCCATGCGTCGTTGTAATGTCTTTTCTTAGATTACTGTCTACTTGATTCCATAATGTGTCATGACGGCGAAATGTGCGTAAACAACGATACACATGGCTTCTGTGTTTGTTTACCCGGTGTGAAAGGAGCTAACTGCACACAAGGTTCGTTTTACATTCATTCTTGGTGACTAAAAGTTACATCTGCTCAGATGACTGATGTCCGTTGTTTACTTACCATTGGCTTACAATCGCCGTCCCTATTCTATGACCCATTATCGACTGCTAGGATTCTCAGCGTCATGAAAATTTGCTCCATTTGTCGAACTTCTCATAAACCAAGCTCCTACTTGTTTGATATAAGTCCATATATCCGGTCGTATCCAAATAAATATTTTTTGGTCTTATAGCCTAATTCGAATAGTCGCAGATATTAAATTTATCAGATGTCTGTATAAAATATTGAACTTGTATTTGACATTCTTGCGGTTCCTTTGTGTTTGGTTGGTTTGTTTGATGTGATTATTTAGGCTTAAGTTTTAATAATTTAAAATTCCAGCCTCTACGAGGGAGTCGAAATGAAGATTACCAAAATCATTAGAGATCGCACAACAGACCGATTTGTTGTATTCATGTGGCACACTTTTATTCAGAGATTTATTTCACCCTAAATACACCTTACCTCCGCCTGACCGTAAAATTATTTTCATTGGATAATTGATTTTCTGGTGCATGGTAAATTCCAACGTAAAACAATGCAAAAGATTCATTAACAGACAGTAAGAATATTGCTAAGGCCTTTCCATCCTTGGTTTTACTTTGCGTTTCCAATCCAAATTTGCTAAGAAAGCAGTCTAACTGATAAATTAATGAACCACAATCTAAAGATCATTAAAGAAAATTGTTTCAAGTACTTTTTAATTTACTTTATTTTTCATTTTTGTCTTAATCAGATTGAATTCGAAGTTCATAGTAAGGTAAGCATTCTTGCGCAATATGTTATTCTTGACACATGATAAAACAGGTGCCCTGGAGAAGAACTAGGCAATATATTTTATTCTACTGGTGCTAGTGGTTGTCGCGCCATAAACAAAAAGCTTGTGCTTCTCGAACCTTGTCTATTTCTACGTGCATCCCCTGGCTAAGTGGTTTGACCATCTGGTCACTCAAGGGTTTTCTTTGACAACGAGGAAACATTGTCGTCCAGCGGAGTCCAGTCCATAGTGCTTGCGGCCGTTGTTATTCAGCGAGCTGCTTAGCCGGTCCAACGTCTTTTGAAGTCGTAAGAGGTAGAGATCACTCATTTAATTCAGTTTGTTGTCGAATCTGTGCACTCGAGTGTGATTGCGAATGGAGACTTAGCGCGTTGTCCGTTCCGCCAAATTTCGTTTGGCGACCAGTTCGTTTTCGTCAACTCCAGTAGCGAACCAACATTCAGCGCCGTAGATCATAGCGAGCAGAAGGGTTGAATAGAGCAGTTCTCTTTTCGCCAACGCGGGCAGCCCACCGTCGGGCAAGGATGTTTTATGCAGTGAAAGGTGGTGGCCCATATTGCCTTCCTTCTTCTGCTGATTTTTCAGTCTAGCAAGTTCGTACAATCCACCTCATAGTCAGTGCATATGTGACCAGTGACATCTTCGGGTTCTTTACCATTTACCTACTCCTGCCTTCGTAACAGCGCTCCACCGCATTCTTTTCGATTTTTAAACATGATTTATCATGCCTGTATGAACGGATTACCGCTATATACGATAGCATTGATGGCGCTATGCCGATTTGCCAGTTGAAGAATAAGTCCTAGGCCATGCGATGATCTTCGGTGAGAGGATATCTCACTTGTGATAGAGAGAAATACTAATGCACTATGGTTCGTTGAGTGGCTTGGTATCTCTTGCAGTAGCCGCGCAGCAGATCTTCAGCTCCTCGATCAGAATGACATAAACAGCCTTTATTCGATCTTCATGCAAAGCGTTGACACAATCGAGTTGTTAATTTCATTGAATCGAATGTCTTGTATTCGACAAAAGTCGAACAGAATGGCACGTGATATTCGTTGCACTTCTCTATCCGCTGCTGTACAACAT